CCTCTCATTCATCTCTTCCCCCCCACTCATTCAGCATCCCCCTCCTCCAGCTCCCAACTCGTATTCATCCTCAGATTATTTCACTTCCTCCTCCTCCTCCTCCTCATCCTCCTCCTCCTCCTCCTCCACCTCTTACCCCTGCTCCGCCTTCGCCTCCATCTTTCCCCTCCGCTCATCCCTTCATTCCCCCCGCCGCGCACGCGCAGGCCGTGGTCCGCCTGTTCGGCGGCAGCTCGCGGGAGCCTCGCGTGGCCGCGCAGGTCTGCCTCCAAGTCGGGCCTGTCCCCGGCGAGGGGCTTTCGCCCAGCGAACGCGCAGCGGCCAGGAACCGAGGAGGCCCTCGATGGGCACGCGCGTCCCGCCGACGCGCCGGGCCCCAGCGGAAGCCAGGCCCGAGGCGGGCCTGTGCGCCCGGGCCGCCGATCCAGGGGTTGAGCAGGGACCGACCGTCCCGGCATTCCTGTAGTCATACCACGAAATGCTCTAAGACAGTGTCCTTCGAACATAAACCCGATGTGCTAAACCAAGACAGCCCCGGCCAGAAATGTCCTAAGAGCATCTCGTGGGAACCACTAAAAAAAATGCTCTTTTAGAACATTGTTTGGTGGGGCTATTGGCGAGCCGGGACGCTTCGGAGGAGGAGGAGGAGGAGGAGGAGGAGGAGGACTTGAAGGGGGGGGGGGGGAGGCGAGCGATGGAGAGGCCGCGGAGGGGAGCGGGGGAGCGGGGGAGCCAGAGGACGGGGGCCGGCGGGGGCCGCGGGAGACCTCCGAGGAGTGGGGCCCGCGGGGCCCTCTCGCCGCGAAGCCGCGGCCCTTCCTGCACGCCGCCCGGCGTACGCCAGCCTGGTGTCCGGCCCGTCGCACGAGCCGAGCAAACGGAGGGCCTCCTGCAACTCCATCTCCTTCTCCTCCACCTGTCCTCCTCCTCCTCCTCCTCCTCCTCCTCGTCCTCGCCCTCATCATCACCATCACCATCACCATCACCATCACCATCACCATCACCATTACCATTACCATTACCATTGCCAGAATCGCCATCATCACCATCACCACCATCACCACCATCACGACCACCACCATCGCCATCATCACCACCGACACCACCACCATCATCATCAACAACAACAGCATGATCTGTACCATCCTCGTTTGAATCACCATCATCATCACCACCATCACCATCACCATCACCATCACTATCACCATCATCATCATCATCGTCATCATCATCATCATCATCATCACCGTCACCACCATCGTCATCGTCGTCATCATCACCATCATCGTCATCACCATCATCATCATCATCATCATCATCATCATCATCATCGTCATCATCACCACCATCTTCGTCGTCATCATCGCTACAACCACCATCATCATCACAATCATCATCACCACCATCATCATCATCACCATCATCATCAGTATCATCCTCATCATCGTCCTCAATTTCATCATCATCGTCATCCTCATCATCAACAACATCACCATCGCCATCGCCATCGTCATCGCCAACTCCGTCGCCTCCACCATCATCATTTCGCATAATCCTCAGCACCACCACCACCACCATCATCATCATCATCATCATCATCATCATCATCAACATCATCATCATCACCATTAACAACAGCATCATTGAAATCATCATCGGCATCGGCATCGGCAGCGTCCACACCAACACCAACACCATCGCCAACATCCAGCATGCTAAAACTGATGCTTCTTATTTGCTCGCGCGTCGCTGAACATGCATATCCCAAACCATCGATACGCGCCCTCGTCGTCTTCGATCGTACCCCCCTTGGGCCTATATCTTCCTTACCCGCCATGTGCAATTAGCGCAGTCCCTACAGTTTAGCAGATTTTTAGATTGCGCATCTGATTCGCCTGGTGACGGTCAGAGAAAAAGCGGCGCTGCAACTAGCAGACTAAAAGGCTGCACGGGCACCAAGTGAACAAGTACAGTACAGTACCTCCTTCCCACCTCCTGCTCCTGACTGCCCCCCCATAGTAGGCAACTGGACGGCAAACGCTAAAGGCGGCGACAAATAATGACGTACTGTGCCTCGCCCAGGGCACTAAGGAGGAGGGGAGCGAGGAAGGGAGGGCAACATGATGAAGTGAGGGAGCAGAGGAGGAAAGGCTGGGACACAGACCACGTCTCCTACAGAAACGCACTCCCTGCAAGCTCCTCCGAAAGTCCTCCACTCCACAGATCCAACGCAAAATCCCCCACCCTTCAACTGGGCAACTGGACGGCAAACGCGAAAAACTGCGACAGTGGCTTGCTGTGCCCGTCCAGGGCATTCGGGCGGAGGGGCGGAGGGAGGGAGGGGGAAGTAAGTACGTAAGCCAAGCGGGAAGGAGGAAGGCTGGGACGCAGGTCACATTCCCTACTCGAGATTGCCGACGAATGGCAACGACTCAGCTTGGCATCTATGAGGCATGGCGGTACCGCAGTGAGAACACCATGCGGAAACTCTATGCCGAGACAGGCGGCCGTCAAAGCGGCCGACGGCCGAGGAGGAAGATCCATCGCACGGCACTCGCAGGAGGAATCTTTTTCGCACCTACGCACGGCATTCCCTTCCCGAACCATCCTGAACCCCCACCCTCAACAATACGCAGCTTGGCCGGCAAACGCTAAAGGGGCTTGCTGCAACGGCCTGGGCACTGTGGAATAGGGGCGGGAGGAGGAGGAATAAGGATGGATGAGGCTGCAGAGGAGGAGAGGGTAAGGCTGGGACGACCACCTCGGCCCTGAGCCCTCGGAAAAAGTCGCGGCGTGGGAGCGAAGCTGCAGGCACTCGATCGCCGCTCGGCCCTCCACTCACGCCTCACTCGGTCGCTCGGCCCTCCACTCACGACTCACTCGATCGCCGCTCGGCCCTCGCCTCACGCCTCCCCGAGCCTGCACAGCGGCGGCGCCGGGAGGGCCTCCAGGGTCCAGCGCGGCCCGCCGCCCGACGGCCTCATCCACCAGGCGCCGCAGCTCGCACGCTCTCCACCGGAAGTCCTGCACCTGCGGGGAGTGTGGGGCCGCCTTCTCCCTCCAGTACAGCACGGCCTCGACCCTGGACAGCTGCTGCTTAAGGAGGCGGACCGCGCCGTCCGCCGCCTGGATGTCCGTGGTAGGCTGCACGCGCTGCACCCTCTGCATCGCCGTAGGCGGAGCAGCCGTGGGCGCGGCGACCACCTCGTCGACGCGCGGCTGACCCTCACCGGCACCGCGCGCAGCGGCGGCGCGGCGTCTGGGCCACGCGTTCCGGCATGCCGTCGCCTGGCACCTGGCAGTCAAGGACACGACAGCGGCGGTGGCCTGTGCCTCAGCCGCCACCTGCTGCACGATCTCGTCCTCCTCGGTGGCGAGCCGCACGCGCGAGCCCGATCGCGGACGCGGCTCGGCCTCGGGCTGGCAGCGGCGGCGACGGCGCGAGGCCGACCGCAGGCGGCCATCGCCCTGCTGGCCCGCGCCCGCATGTCGAGGCTCTCCAGGTGGCGGCGGCGGTAGCACACGAGGCTGCTGCAGCAAAGGCGCCGGACTCGGTGATGTAGGTGGAGGGCACACGAGCACGAGCTTGCAAACCGCCAATGGCTCAGCAAGAGCATCACGAGCACGATCACGAGCACGGGCCTCGCCCGCAGCCGCAGCCTCCAGCTCCGGCGCACCAGCGCGACCAGCACGATGAGGCTCGCGATCGGCATGAGCAGCGACGCGAGCGAGACTGGCCACGTCGCTCATGAGCGGCCGGCGACCAGTCCGGGCAGCGAAGCCGAGCCTGCGCACAGCGGCGCGCAGGCCCGGTCTCGGCTGGTCGCCATGGCGCCAGCCGGAAGACTCTCGGAGCGCGCGGCTAGCCCTCCACTCGCCTGGGCACGGCGAGGCGAGGCGGCCGGCACGCATGGCTGCCCGCCCCGCACGAGGTGCGCTGCTCCTGGAGCAGTCCCAAACACCTCGGACCGGGGCGGCAGCTCAGTTTAGCAGGGGAAGGGAGGAGGGAAGGGACAACGAGAAGAGACAAGGATGGAACACGGCAGAGATTAGCAAGAGGGAGGTTAGGAGCAGAAGAACAAGTGACATAACCAGACAGGCGGGTCGGGCGGGCGGACCAAGACTGTGGGCGGGTCGCTAAAGCGTCAGTCCTGGATGAACCGCGAGGAAGTCTCTAGCGACAGCGCGATTCCCAAGTAAATCGTGGGGAAATCAAACGCGAGAGTGTGATTCCTGTGTTTGGGGCTCGGCGTTTCAATCACAATTGTCAAAGAACTTGCACGCAAGAGCGCGAGTCCTGGATGAATTGTGAGGAGGCGATACGTTTGAAGGAGTGTCAGGCGGGAGCCATTGTTGTGATCGTTAAACGGAGGTCAGCGACACAGTCTGAGGCGAAAGGCTTTCCCTTCTACAGAACAGGGTGCGAGCGCTGGTAGGAGCAGGTTAATGGGAAAACAGAAGCACCGAGCAGGGGGGATCAACGGCACTTATTCTATTGTAACTAAATTAAACATTATCCTGCTCTTCCTCCTCCTCCTCCTCCTCCTCTGCTGCTGCTGCTGCTCCCCCCCTCCTCCAAGCCAGCCCCCTCCTCAGTCCCAATACCCCAACGGAAAATCTGCCTCCTCCAAACTCTATCTGCCTCCTCCAAATCCCCTTCTCCTTCCCCCTTCAACTCCATCTCCTCTTCCTCCCCTCCTCCTCCTCCTTGCAGTGGTGGTGCTGATCCTCCTCCTTCTCCTCCTCCTCTTCCTGCTCCTCCTCCTCCTGCTCCTCCTCCTCCTGCTGCTCCTCCTCCTTTTCCTCCTCCTCCTTTTCCTCCTCCTCCTCCTCCTCCTCCTCCTTTCCCTTATGATCCTCGTCGTTGCCCCCTCCCCTCCTTCATCTCTCTTCCTCCATCTCCCGCAATCTCCCTCATCTCCTCCTCCTCCTCCTCCTCCTCCTCCTCCTTTTCCTCCTCCTCCTCCTCCTCCTCCTCCTCCGCCTCGAAGGGGGGTCGCCTGCAACGCCTCCCGGGACTTGTTGCCGAAGTAAACGTCGACCTGGCCCTCCTCCCCGGCGTACTGCGCCTCGCGGCAAGGGAAGTGGCGGCGGAGGGGGGAGCGGGGGCGAAGGGGAGGAGCAAGGGAGGAGCTCAATGGAGGGGTGGAGAATGGCCGGCCGAGGCTGTAAGACTCTGCGGTTCCTTCCGGGGTGAAGGTTACCGATTCAGGATGAATCTGTTGGGCCGATGAGAACATGCTATCAACGCCCATGTCGGGCGACTGATGGTTCATACTCTTGCGCTTTCGCATGTATTTTGCTGGACAAGCATATATGACTGCCCAGAGAGAGTTCCCTGCATGATACAATTTACATCCAACTACCCGAATGAGTGGCCAATCGCCCTCTGTCTAACCACAGCCCTGGGCTACCCATCCCAATCCCATTCGCTCCCCGCAGCGAGTGCCGCTGACAGATCCCATGTCCAATGTGGGGGGCCAAAACGTACAACTGCAGAGGTGAAGATGAGGCTCCGATACCTTCGTTCGACGCTGCAGACAGCTGGGCCTCCTACTGTTGGCAGACGCAGCTGGTTTGGCTTGGATATACTATCTTCTTTCGCTGTTTCACTGGCTCGGCCACTTTTTGAACACTCCCGAAGCTGGGAAGCCCTGCAGGGTGCGCCGCGTCACGCTTCCAGGAACGGGAAACGCGACCAAATGCGATGCTTACGTATGAGAGAGCGCGTTTCGCGGGCGCGCGCCCTGGAAACATTCGGCGGCGGTTCGAACCGGGAGATGGGCCCCCCCACCCAACACTCGGCGCCGTCGACTCCCTTCTCCCCTAGCCCCCCCTCCCGAATCCCCCCCCCCCTTCCCAAGGGGGGGGGTCCAAACCCCCCCGCCTCCTGGCGGCCCTGGCGCCGGCGCTGGCGCTGGCGGCCGCCAGCAGCGCCGACGGCGGGGACGCAGCGACGATGACCAGAGAGGGCCCAGGGAGAGGGGGGGGTCCCCCCCCCCCCCCCGCGCCAGCGCCGGCGCTGGCGCTGGCGACGGCCAGCAGCGCCGACGGCGGGGACGCAGCGACGATGACCAGAGGGCCCAGAGGCCGCAGAGGGAACGCACAAATCGCCAGATCGAGCCCTCGCATGCTCCTCAGACGCCCCCGAGACCCTTCTGACGAGACCTCGAGAGGCATTCATTAGAACTCTGACCCAAAGCCAAAACACAGTGGCGGGAAGAGCCGAATGCCACACCACCACCACCACAAACAACCACACCACCACCACCACCGCCACAACCACCACCACCACCACAACCGACCACCAACCACAATCATCACCATCACCACAAACCGCTACAACACCACCACAAGCAACGCAACCACCACCAGCACCACCACAGACCACCACAACCCACCACAAACACCATCACCATCACCACCACAAACCACCACACCATTATCACCACCTTCAGCACCACCGCCACCACCACCATCACCACAACCCACCACCACCACAGACCACCACACCACCACCACCACCACAACCACAACCGCCACCACCACCATGTGACCCAAAACCCACCAGCACCACCAGCACCACTACCAGCAGCACCACCACCACCAACACCACCACCACCACAAACCACCACGCCACCGCCACCACCACCGCCACCACCACGACCACCACCACCACCACCTCAACCCGCCACCCCAACCACCAAACCACCACACAACCACCACGACCACAGACACCACCACCACCACAACAGCTCACCACCACCACCACAACCACCCCCACGACCTCAATCTACCACACCACCACCACCACCACCACCACCACCGCGTCACCCACCACCATTACTACCAACAGCACAACCCACCAGCACCACACCACAAACCACCACACCACCACCACCACCATCACTACCACCAGAAACAACACCACCTCCACAAGCCACCGCCACCACCACCACCGCCTCCACCACCACCACCACCACCACAAACCACCACACCACAACCACCACCACCACCGCCGCCACCACCACCACAAACCACCACCACCACAAACCACCACCAGACCACCACCACCACCACCACCAACCACCACCAACAACCACCACCACCGTCACCACACACCACCACAACCAACCACCACCACCACAAACCAGCACCCCAACACCACCACCACCACCATCAACAACCACAACAACCACCAACACAACCGCCACCACCGCCACCACCACCACCACAACCCACCACCACCACAACCACTACCACCATCACGACAAACCACCACACGACCAGCGCCACCACCACCAAAAACCACCGTACCACCACCACCACCGGCACCACCACCACCAACACCACCACAACGGGCCACCACCACCACACAAGCACCACCACCACCACCACCACCACCACCAACCGACCACACCACCACTTCCACCACCAACACCATCACCACCACCAAAACCACCGCCACAACCACCACCACCACCACAGCCCACCATCACCATCACCACCACCTCAAAGAGGCCCCAAGAGACGCCCAAGAGGCGCCCAGGAGGCTTCACAAATGCCCTTCAGAGGCCCCCGAGAGCTCTGCGACGAGACCCCAAGAGGCATCCATTAGGACTCTGAGCCAAAACCAAGGCACGGTGGCGGAGCGTCGTCGTCGTCGTCGTCGCCGTTGTTCTCGTCGACGCTCCCCGCCGCCGCCGCCCGCCGCCGCAAGCGCTGGCGCCAGCCCAGGAAAGGTAGTCGTCGTCTTCATCGACGCTCCCCGCCGCAGCCGCCGACGACACCGGCGCCCCCCGGACGGACGCCCTCAGAAGTTCCACACGCGGCGGCCGCGCGTGCCGAGCGAGCTGCGCGCGGACACGCCAGCAGCTTTTCAGAGACCCTCGTGGTGCGCCCCGATGCTCGACTCGCACTTCCGCAAAAGACAAGACAGTTACGGCTCCCCCGTCATTCGCTATCGTTCTTTCTATATGTTTCTTTCTCTCCATTTCTCTCTCTCTCTCTCTCTCTCTCTTTCTCTCTCTGTCTCTTCGCCCCCCCCCACCTCTCTCCTAAACAACTAACTCAATTCCTTCGCTATCCCCCCTTCATGCCCCCTCTCGCTTTGCCCTTCCATCCCTTCTATGTTTATATAAATATATATATATATGTATTTCTCCTTCTTCCCCTCCCGAAAGAAAAGTTGCCTTGACGCCAATCTGCAACACGTCGTCCTGGGAGTGAGCTGGACGGCAGGGGGGCGGCAGCCTGCAGGAAGAGCAGGAGGTGTTGGATATAAGCATCAGACCACACAAACGACGCACACGCACACGGTGGGCTGAGGCAGGTCGCGCAAGGGACCACGTTCGCCACCGCTTACCCAGGAAAAACACTCCGAGTAGTTTTCTGGCTCGGCACTCCAGCGCCCGCCATCGATTGCAACACCATCGAGTTCCGGGTGGCGTCTAGAAGCGATGCAAGTCCACGATGTGCTCCCAAGAGACGGCAGAAGGGGAAGGGAGGGGAAGGAGGATGAACTGGGAAAGAGAATGCGAAGGAGATGAGTAGGGAAGAGCAGGAGGGAGTGATGGGCGAGAAGGGGGGATGCGCGAATGGGGGGGGCAGGGAAGAGGGAGGAGGGGAAGAGGCAGGAAAACACGAGTGGAAGTGGGAGGGGAAGCGGAACGCGGGGGAAGGGGGGACGGGGAAATGGGGCGGGACCGCGAAGGAAAAGGATCGGATCGGCCATCCGCGAAAGCGCCTGCTGCGAGGTATCCGCCAGGGGAGCGGGAGTGCGTCGACAAATTTATCAGCATTAGTCCAGGAGGGACAGGGAGATGGCCCAAGATACCTCAAGATGGCTCAAGACAGCCTCCGACGAACATCCGAAGGGGCCTCAAGACGGCCCCAAGACGGTGTCAAGTGCCTTTAGAGCCCTCCGAAGATCCCCCCGAGTGGCCAACATGGCTCAAACACCAGAGGAAATTCAACGTTGTTTGCCTTCTCGCCTTCTCGCTTCCAATGGGCTCTTGAGGCACTACGACAGCTCCAAGACGGCCCAAGAGAGCCCCAAGGAGGGGCCCAAGAGGGCCCCAAAAATTCCCCAAGACAGACCCAAGACGCCGTGTTTGAGCCCCTGAATTGAAGACAGCAGTGTGCCATACATTGCCGCAAGAGGCCTCCCAGAACCCCCCAAAGAGCCCCAAGAGGGCCCCTAGACCAACCAAAACAACCCCAGGAGGGCCCCAAGAGTGTCCCATCTAGCCCGGCGAGGACCCCAAAAGAGGCCAAGATAGCCCCAGGAGACCTCCGAGAAAGCACTTCCACGGCGATTGATACACTGCACTGTCAGTTTCTAGACTTCCCTAATCAAAACAACTCGCCGGGCGATCTGTTCCTGGATGTGCTGGTGGGATTTTTTTTGGCACGCGGGCGCGCGAATCGAGTCGAACGCCGTGCAAGCAGGGGCAGGCCGCGCCACAAGGTAAGGAAACAACAGAACTGTCAGCAGCGCCGAACACAGAAGGGACAGAGCTCAGGGCAGCCAAAAGGCGCGGGCGGCATCACGAAACGGCACCGGGAACACGTCCAGATAGGTGTCGAACAGGACGCAGGTCAGTGGAAGGCGACCCCATTTGCAACCACGGAGGGAACGCCTCATATACCCAGGACGGCGGTGACAAAAAGGGCGAAACGGACCAACGATTCCCCAGGTGCCTTGCCGAACACGTAGCACAGGACCCAGAAGGACTCCACGACGGCCGGTGGGATACTTTTTCGGTCGCGGCCGCGAGACGACGGTCAGGCGGCGAGAGCAAAGTCCGGGACGCGAACTAGGCGAATTAGCTAAGACAGGCGCAGGCCGGCCGGCCCACTCAGACAGCAGCTGCGGGCTGAGGGGAGTGAAGCTGGACTGAACGGCGCTCTGCAAGCTCGGGCACGTGCACAGGACAAAATGTCACGGAATTCAAACTTGCCATGGCACAGCCCGCACACAGGGGACGCGGACCACGATGGGCAAGTCCGTCGTGCTGGGTGATGACAAGAGGGCCATTGGAGTGAGTCGCCAATGTGGCGCCAGGCTCCGAACGGACGACCTGAGCTAGCCAGACAGGCTGGGCAGTCGTGAGCCGTGGTGCAACGCAACTGGGGAGGCTGACGGTGGGCCTGTAGGCTGCCCCTGCTGCGGAAGGCTGAACCACTAGCTGGTGGGATACATTTTTGATCTGCGGCCAAAGGATGGCTCCAGAGGGCGGGTCAATCTCGACAGGGGCGCAAAGCGAGACGATTGGCAACGAAGGCACATAGGCCAACGCCGCAATGCACGTGCGAGGGACAAAATGAACATCATTAGAACAAACTGGAAAGCCGGCGGAGGGTCGCACAGTGGCGCCAGCCCCCACAGACCAAGCCTGCGTAGGAACAATGTGCGGGCAGCACAGAGCCCCAGGAGAGGCACCGCCAAACGCGGCGAGGAGGAGCAGAAGGGGGGACAAGCGCGGGCGGCGACGGGGGGAGGGGGGGGGAGGCAACAAGGAAAAGCCGGCGGAGGGTCGCACGGTGGCGCCAGCCACCACAGACCAAGCCTGCGGAAGGCGGGAAGTGCGGGCAGACTGGAAAAGTCGGCGGAGGGACGCACTGCGGCGCCAACCTCCACAGACCAAGCCTGCGGATGGCGGGAACAATGCGCGGGCAGCACAGAGCCCCAGGAGAGGCACCGCCAAACGCGGCGAGGAGGAGCAGGCGGGGGAAGGCGCGGGCGGCGACGAGGGAGGGGGGGGAGAAAACGAGGCCTCACTCACAACCTCACGTGCTCGAAGCCAGGTGCGACAACGAAAGCCGGGCGTCGGCAGCCAAATCGTTGGAGCCCCAGCTTGCACCTTCCTTGCCGCGGTGGATGGGGGAACGCTGCGAGGTACCACGTCAGAATCACCTGGCGAGGGACCTGCGGACCTGCCGTGGGAGAACCGCTGGGCTGTCGTGAACCACGTGCGCCGTTCACCGTGGCTCAGACCTGCCAAAGGATGGACCACTTGTACAGGAACCCAATCACCTCAAGCCCGCCCGTCGCGGCCAGCGGGTGATCGCATCCGGCTGCGGGGAAAGGTGTGTCCACCTCGGCGCGAGCACGCGTGCGTTGCCACGATGGGGGGGCGCCGAGTGGCGTGGCCCACCACCGCGGCGTGCGTGGAGGAGGGGGGAGGCGCAGCCGATAGCCGCAAATCAAATGAATTGGACGGGGGGTAGAAGGGCAAGGCCGATGGGCCAGGCGGCGGCAGAGGCCGCAGAGGACCCAACACAGGTTGCAAGTGTGTTGCACATGGGGGGGAAAGAGCCCGTCAGGTGGGGGGGGGGCGACGCCACCTGTCCGGGGTCACCGTGGGTAGTGGTGTGGTAGAGTGCGGAACGACTGGTGGAGCACCTGGGGTGGGCCTTTGGCCGCCAGTCCCAGTCCTCCAAAGTGAGTGCCCAATCGGACAAAGAAGACGGGCCGTTGTCCGGTGAGAACAAGGCCAAAAGGAACCGTGGGAGTGGATTATTTCAGCCGGCCCCGCACGAACTGTGAAGCCCACGAACAAGCGTGGGAGTCTAAACGCAGTGTGGTGGCAAAGGTGCACCTCGGCCCAAAGAGGTGGCACAGGAGTATTAAGGCCTCGGCCTGTCACTGCGGTGAAACTAGTCCCCGTCGTGAAGGGGCCACCCACGAAAGCGGCAGCCCGTGGGGGGCTGCCGTCCGCGCGGTCTTTATTCCTCACCATCGTCAGAGTCCCAGCTTGCACCTTCCTTGCCACGGTGGCTTGGGGAACGCTGCAAGGTGCCGCGTCAGAACCACCTGGCGAGGGACCTGCGGACCTGCCGCGGGAGAACTGCTGGGCTGTCGTGGACCGCGCGCACCGTTCACTGTGGAAGGGATGTAGGCGTGATGCGTAGCCAGGTGAGGGCTCAGACCTGCCAAAAGATGGGCCACTTGCATAGGGACGCAGTCAACTCAGGCCCTCCCGTCGCAGCCAGCGGGTGATCGCATCCGGCCGCGGGGAAAGGTACGACCACCTCGGAGCGTGCACGCGTGCGTTGCCACGATGGGGGGAAGCCGAGTGGCGTGGCACACCACCGCGGCGTGCGTGGAGGAGGGGGGAGGCGCAGCCGATAGCCGCAAAACAAGTGAATTGGAGGAGGGGAGAAGGGCAAGGCCGGTGGGACAGGTGGCGGCAGAGGCCGCAGAGGACCCAACCCAGAGGTGCAATAGCGTTTAAATTAAGCGCCTTTCGTTTAAATTAAACACTATCTAAAAACATAGGGATTCCGTTAATTTTAAACGATTTGTTGTTGGACGATTGACTCAAAACGTTTCTGTTGTAGAATTGGCTCAAAAAAAGAAAACATCTATCCTCCTCCGCTCCTTCGATACTTTCCTCCGGTCCTCCTCCACTCACTGTTTCTCGGCCGTCCGCTGTTTGGGGCCGAGCCATTTGGGCAATTCGCGCCGCGGCCTCGGCACGATGGCGCCACCATGCGCTGCGGCCATCAGCAGGCCTATCTTTCTCCCTCCTCATCCTCCTGCCCTTCTTTCCTGCTCAACCTTCTCTATTCGTCCGTGTTGGCACATGCGCTCCCCCTCGCACCCGAGGGCAAGCGGGCACGCCGCCACCGTGGCCGTGGTCCGCAGCCCAGCGATCACGAACGAGGAGCGCACAGAGCAGACAGGAGGAGAAGGAGAGGATAAGGAGGATGAGGTGGAAGAAGAACGAAGGGAAGGAGTAGGTGAAAAAGGGGAAGATACGCAAGGAGAAGAGAAAGAGGAAAAAACATATTGAGGCTGGGTGAGAGGAGGAGCGGAGGAGAAAACAGGAGAGGAAGGGTTGGAAGGACGAGGAGGATACGACGAGGACGACAAGGAAGAGGACACGGAGGAGGAAGAGGAGGATACGACGAGGACGAGGAGGAAGACGATAGATGACGGCCCGCCCAATAGAAGCCGCCAGTCGGAGGAGAACGTGACGGCCGCGGTGAGCATCATCGTTTTCAGGACAGTTTGCCGCTCGCTGCGCATCTCGTGCTCCTGTTCCTTTGCCTCGTCCTCCTCATGATCGTTAACTGGTTTTCCTTCTCGCCTCCATCGCCCCTCTCGTCACCTGCCCTCTTCTCTCTCAGGATCCTCGTCCTCTCCGCCAGGACCCAGGGGGCCCAGGGCCGAATGGAAGTGCAGCAGTGGGAACAGTAGGGGAAGGGGTAA